GGATATGGCGACTGCATCCGGCTCCCGTCCATCTTTGGCTCGTATCCTTGTTGAATTGGATGTTACAAAAAAACATGCTGATAAGAATTGGGTTGGCTCGGTAAAATCGGGCTATGTTCAGAATATAACTTTTGATGATATTCCTCATTTCTGTGTGCACTGTAATTCATTAGGTCATCTTAAGGATTTATGCCCTATCTTGCATCCTTCTATTAAAGTCCCTAAAACTGTGGTTGCTCAGTGCGGGAAGCTGGATTCGAGTGACCCTGTTGATGTTAATTTGGATCTCTCTAGGGAGGATAACGCTGTGCTAGCTGCTGATGTCAATATTTTGGATGTTGTAAATTTTTCGGAGGCTGCTGATACTGTTTTGTCTCCTAATGCTACTCCTTTTATTCCTTCGTGTGTGGTTGACGGTATTGGTCATATGGATGTGGTTGAGGATATTCCGGAAGTTGATCTGGTGTCGAAAGTTAGTGAAATGTTGGTTTCTACTCCTGTTAATGCTGCGCCTGTTTCTGATGAGTGTGGAAGGGGGCCCGGTGGTGTGGTTTATGGTGATTCGCCTGTTTTGGGTGTTGTGGAGGACTCTGATCGGCTTCAGATTAGTGTTTTGAAGGTGGACTCAAAGGTGAATGGTCAGGTGGTAAATGCGGATATGCAAGAATTGTTGACCAATTCTCAAAATTTGTTTAATGTTCCAGTTAAAGTAAAGGTGGATGATACTTCTGGAGTGAATATTAGGTCTGAAGTTGATTGGTTGAATAATTCGTCTGAATATGATTCTGATTCTGAGTCATATTCAGATCCTGAATATGAGCTCAAAATGGTGCGTGATAGACCTCTTAAGGTTGCTTCTCGGGGGAAATTTTGAAATAGAGGTGGCAGGAGAAGATAATTCCTTTTCATTTTGGATTATTTTTTGCGGTTGATCGGATTGCTCGTCGTTTTGGATTGGAGGTTGCGGGGCTATGATGTGGTTGGGGCTCGTGTCCTCGTCGGCTATCTTGTGGTAACTGTTGGTGATTTTCACTCTACTGAATGGTCATTGCGCGGATTCGAGGATGTTGGGAGTCTCAGCTATCTACTGAGCCCTCTTTTGGAATTTGTTTTTTCGTTTTTCATTGGGACTGTAGCTTTTATTTGGGGTTCTTCTCTTTCCGTTTACCTTTTTCCAGCTGTTGTACCTCCTTTTTTATAGTTAATATATTTGCTTTTTATTTAAAAAAAAAAAAGCGTCAGTTACCTTTCTCGCTTGTTGCCCGAAGGCAGCCTTTCTCAGGCCGTACATATCTTTGGTTACATTTTAAGACCCCTAAGGGCATCTCCAACCGAAAATCTCATTTTTCACTTCAAAATGCAGGGAAATCAAAAAATGCCGTGTTTCATCTCCAATCCAACGCCATTTTGTCGCTAAAATCGTTCGTTTTCTTTCGCGCCTTTGTTCCCAATCTGTTCGGCAGAGAGAAAAAAAATGGCGCAGATGAACAGTGCAACGCCAATATTGGCGTCGCACTGTTCATCCGCGATCAAATGGCGTCGAAGATGACGATCGGTTGGAGCAAAGTAATTGGAGATGCCCTAAGATCAAATTTCAATATTTTGGGCTCAGATTTGATACTTTTTGGCACAAATAAAATATCTTAAACTAGTTTTGAGCGCTTTTAGATAATTTTGAGTTGAGTTATTTGACAATATATTCTTTGAACTCAATTAAATGGTGAAATTATTATTGGTGATAAATTGTTTTATTCACAAATTTGAGGGAAAGTTTTCATTTATGCCTAATGTGTCCGCTTCTTGAAATATTCCTGAAGTTGTCTTACTCCCTAATATTTTTAAGATCCAAATAAATTTTTGATTATGTAAAATAAATAAGGCATCTTTTTTCACCTCCGGAGAGAACTTTGGAGAGAATAGCTGGACTTAAGTGAAAATACTAGAGCTTTGAATACTATTTGGAACCCCAATTAATCAGCTTTAGGATTCCATATGTCTAGACTTCTCTACTATCCTATTTCTCTCTAGCCAGGAGAATAATCACATCGAACACCCTCCAATTAATCAACATTATGCCTCTGCTAGTTACTACCAATCGATGTTTGATGTTAGTCATTGCCAACATTCTCTAACATTCTCACCATGATCATATGAGACAACTCTTATGATCTAATCATTGTAATCATGTCTTCTTTGATTGAAGAATGGTACTTTAATGTTGATGCATAATAAAAAAATTCACTTGAAACTCAGATGCATTTTTGAAATAATCTTGATGCATATTTGAATGGATAACTTTCAAAATTGAATTTATAATAATATAAACACCCAATTATAGAAATTTGAGACAAAATAGTTGAGAGAAAGAGGAAAGGAGGTTAGCTAGCAAGCTAGAATAAAGCCCACATGCTACATTCCAAAAATTAGGCAGGGAAACCAGCCTTTATTTACAGGGAAACAAAGGGTAAAAGAACAATAAAAGCAGGTAGGAGCGCCTCAAAATTGTATCAGACAGGGGCCAAAGTGACAGTTGTTAAGGGGGAAAAAAAATTGTTGACATATTATTTATGTATCTTCTAAGATTGTGACTCAGTATTGTTTTCGTCCTAAAATAAATGTAAAAATTTTTAGTGGGTAAAAAATATCTTGCACATTTTGTGCTGTTTTTTTAATATTAACGTAGAGTGAATAATATATTTGTTTAAATGCATTGTACAATTTGTGTTAATTGGCTCGTACAGTCGTACATTTAATATTTCCCTTTTTTTTGTTTCTGTCGGTGTTTTTGTACGATAGTTAAACTTAAGCTATGTTAGAGATAATTTTCTCACTATTTTACTTATCATAAAATAATAACAGTTTTATTTGATAATTATTTTACTATTATTTCTCATTTTTTTTAATTTGTATAATACAACAACAACAACAACAACATCAAGCCTTTATCCCACTACGTGGGGTCGGCTACATGAATCCTTTTTCTCCATTAACGCAACCCTCCACTTTTCTCATCCAGGACTTGGGACCTGGCAACGGCAGTGTTAATTTGAAAATATTTTTAATTTGTATAATAAAAAAATATTTTTTTTATTATTTTTATTGTTATAGGCAAGCTTATTGCTTCGATTTTTATTGTCCAAAATTTCAAAAATATAATTAAAATTCTATATATACTTAATATGAAAATTAATAGCACTGTTATTAATTTTATTATTTTTTTCTAAACAATACAAACTCTTCAATTCTCCGCATAATTTTTTTTAATCTACCCCCTATAATTATTGTCCACCAACGCCAACCTCTCTAATTGCAGATGAAGGAGTTCTATGCGTCGCGGAAGAACGAACGCTTGGTGACGGCTGTTGTGCTTGGCAAAGAAGTCCCGGTCTACGGTGGCGGCGCCACCCTCACCAGCCACAATAACGGCGAGCCACCGGCGGTGGTGCCGTTTAGGCTCACATTCGTCGTCCGCGCTCGCGCCAACGTTCTCGGCCGGCTGGTTCGGTCCAAATTCTACCGGACGGTTCGGTGCTCGGTCTTCCTTCATGAGTCGCGCCTTGGCCGGCCGGTCGACCTTCGCCGCGCATGTGAGTACGATTGAGAGGCGGAGGGCGGGACCGCGGTGGGGTTCCTCGAGGGTTGGCTTTAAGGATAAGCCGGGAGCATAGCCCGGGATTTTTTTTGTTGGTTGGTATAATTTTAGGTTTTTTTGCTTGAATCACGGCCTCCTGGTCTGTACTGGGGATCGACCGTTAAGTCGTTTAAATGCTACCGGATCGAGATTTTAGATTTCATATGTTGTAGTCACCTTCTATTTAATTTATTATGATGTCTAGAGTCAAAATATAAAGGAAAATAAATACTTCAAGATTTATTAATGCCAAATATATTGGTGAATTTCAAAAAGTTTAAGTTCAGCTTTAAAGTTCATATTAACTAATGTGTTTTATTTCAGACAATTTTAATACAAATTTCTTTTAAATTTAAATTTGTTAAAATTAAGATATGATCTAAATATTTTAATAATAAAGTTTAAATTTTTAATCAATTCAACTAGTTCTGACAGTTGCTGACTTATTATTTTTTTATACATTTAGGTCAATAATTACAAATTTATACACATATTTCATACATAAAGACTCAAACCTAAGATCTCTTAGTTAGTAACTTAAACTCTCAATTAATAGGCTAATATGAGTTGCTCTCAACATGCTTTAATATGATGGTATTATAGGAAGGTCCTACATCAGCTCTATCTTCTGGTGCAAAGTTTTTTGTTTTGTTTGATTTTTTTAATTTTTTTCTAAAATTTTTGAAGAGTTATTACGTGCTGTCATCGGATGGTTCAAAGATGAATTATTAATTATGTACCACGTCACCTTGGTATACAACAATCAGTGATATGGCGTGTCCTGATTCGCTTCTGGAAGGTGTCTAGTGATCATACGTAATAATTTCACATGTTCATGCAAATATTAGTCTCTCTAAGCGATGGAGCAATCTTGCACATCCGTCTTAAAAAAATTAAATATTGTTGGGCATTGTAGAAGTGTTGGAGTAGTTGGATCAAATTTATGTACCTCTCTAAGCATGATTGGGAAAAGACAGACACATTAGCTTGATAACAATGAAGATGATAAATAATAGTTGAAACAAGAGAATAATGAAGTTGCTACTAAATAACCAACAACGAAAAATGTAGAAATTTTGTTATCAATTAGTACGAGCCACAATAAATAGCTCAATATGCGGTGAAAGTATTCGTAGAACCAAGTCGTTAAATATGACTAATGATGATAGCTATGAATCCGACTCAGACAATAATACTTATGATTCAAACAAAATGTAAGATTTAACTCTAATATATGTACAAATTTAACATTTGAACAAAAATAACTAAAGCATTATTAAGCTTCAACCAGATCATATAACAATAAATACACTTAAAATAAATCAAAGGGAAATTATTAAGTGACTATTGTTCATATATATTTGAAGCCTTGGATTTATTATATTGATATTTACTATTCTATATACCAATACTACTATAACATCGATCAATACATAATAATAAGACTAACACTGATAAAAATCATAATTTCAATCCGAACAAGAACAAGAAAACATAAATCGATCATTGAATGAAACATTCATAAATGTGTATTTAGGTCCACTTCTCTATGATCTTCTTCAAAAATCCTTTCTTCTCCTTTCTTTCCAGCAGCGATCCTTCCATCTTCTCCTCCCACATCGCCTCCTCCATTGCCACCCTCTCGATCTCCACATTTGTGTCTTCCTCCTCAATCGCCATTTCCTTCACATCTCCCTTCTTCTTATGTTGTTCTGCATACATTTTATCCTCGGTCTCATACTTCAAATTCATCATATTTTTCTTCTCATTTTGCTCCTCTGTCCCTCCCTCTTCGATTTCATCATCTTCGTCATTCTGAGAAAAAAACAACTTGTATGAAAATCCTAGCCATCCAATTCACTTTGGCTGGTCATGATTCATTGCTTCAACTTATAAAATAATTCTGGATAAAATAACAAGATATAAAGCTTACAGAGTAACAATAAATTCCATGCTTCTCCTCATCTTCGTTCCTCTGGCCATTGTTGAGGTTGATCTTGTTGACGACGGTGACCAGAACCTCCGGCTTCTGTTTTGGCTGCTTGGTTTCACCCTCTTCCATGTTTTCCTTGAAATAATCGAACAACTCCCGGTCGATTACCTCCCCGTCTCCCTCCTGCACGCTCACAACCCGTTCGTTGAGCTCCTTACCCGCCATTGCCAGATTTGACTGAGCTCAGATGGAAAAGAATGCTCTAATCCGCTGGCTTTATATAGGTTTCAAAAGGCAGAATTTTGAAGAAGGAAATTATAGGAGAAAGGAATAAGAAAAGTATAATTTTTTTTAAATATAAACTTCTGTGCTAAAAAAGAAAAGAATGCAGTTATGTTTCACATAGGAACTCCTCATATGATTTGGATCCAATGCGATTGGGTTTCTTTGGGGTATTAGCGTGATTATAAATTTGTATAATTAGGGAAGAAATATCAATAAATTTCCTCAAATTAAGGCTTTGTTTGGGATGGCTTTTTTATTGCTTCTTAAAATAATTTTTTAGTTTAAAGATTAAAAATTTTATACGAAAAAGCTGCTTAAAAAAACAGTAAGAAAGTGGTCCCAAACGAAGCCTAATTTTTTTGCCCCAAATTTTGAATCTCATTTTAAAAGATAAATTGAAGAATATTGATGATAGTTAAAACCATCTTATAGCCACTAAACAAATAACAAATCTTCCTCATTAAGACGCTTTTGATATAGACTAATAAAAAATCCTCTAAAAATTGGAGCAATATATGAAATTTTTCATTGTAAAATGTCATAAGAAATTTATGCCTAAAATATGCTCATCATCATATTCATTAATCAATGTTTGCTACTATGGATGATAGAGTGTATGTCATCTATGTTACCGTAGAATATAATGGAGTACATGTGAACATGATGATAATCTATTTGGATTCTTATTCAGGTTTCATTTGAGATGACTTTCTTACTACTTTTTAAAGCAGTTTTTTAGTAAAAAAACAAAAAATTATACTAGAAAGCTACTTTAAAAGCAATAAGAAAGCCGTCCCAAACGAAGTCTCAATCTCATGCACTTTTGAAAGGTGGGATGGCTACAGATTGATATTCAACATGTGGATCGGAGAAGAGTGCTCAAATGCTTTGTGATCCTTCTGTCACATCTCATTTTGACTCGCCTTAATCAACTTGAGGTGTAACATAGATTAAAAATCCGTTTAGATACATTTTTCTTTATTAAGAATACTTCGTTGTACTTTAAAAGGTTGAAAAATAAAGAAAATTAATCAAAATAAGTTGAAATCGAAAGAAATGAATAGCAAAATAGATTTATGGTGCTCTAAGGGTTCACAAAGTACAAGGATGTTGATGAAGACATGCTCAATGTACAAAAATTTGATTGACCCACCAATTTATGCTTTAATAAAATACATATTTGAGATTCATAAGCTGTACCAAATTAAGCTTTAATCTCTGAACATCAATAACTTAATGATTTTATGTAATGATATAGTGTTTTATATATACTAATTTAAAAGCTCTAGTGTAATATAAATCTTAAATGTTCTTCAAGATTTAAAAATACAACAGTTAGCAGCCCTATGGAAGAGCAATAGTGTAATGTGCTGGGTTACAGATTTGATTTAGGAGATATTATTCTGTGCGGACACCGGATAGTGAGAATCATCTGATTTTCTCTCTGTGAATAGTAAAAGCGAAATTTACAGAGACAAATCGGACGGTTCTCCCGTCTGGTGTCCGCATAGAATAATTTATCTTGGCTTAGAGGCAGCAAGATCCTTGGAGTGGGCACTATTACTGGGCTGGCTTTGCCTTGGTCGCAAGTGATGGAATCCAATTCCATGGAAGTCTGGGAAGTAAGGTAAGGGATGCCTTTTGTGTTTTAGTGCAAAGGCAATATCAGCAGCATCTTGTTTCCTTCTCTATGCCGAAAGGCTCAATTAAGACTTTTATAATATCAAGGATTTTGATTTCTAAATACAGATAAATTGGTTAATATTAAAATAGATTTTAAATTTTTTAAAAGGAGTATTATCGCATGCTAGAAAATTTGAGTCGTTAGAGTATTTATTTCACTTATCAACGTTGTACTAAAATTCATTAATTATAGATAAAAATAGTAAGATTAGAATTTTCTTATGTGGAAAATCTAAACAGGGAAAAATAATCATGATGTTTGACCAAGATGAAAAATCTATTATATATTAAAAGATATAATAGTCTTTCCTTCATCACAGTAGAAGAAGAAGATGATGATTACTTGAGAATAAGATGTCTCATTTCTTTTATAAAGGTCAATGGAATTCAAGTGTACATAGATCTAACACCTAACAAAAGGGCGTGATTTTTTAATAGAGACTATAGAAAGTAAGTGTCAATAGGTGGAGCTATATCCAAAAACAAGATTAAATATAGTCAAAATTTTGGAGATGGTGATGATTACTGATGGCGATTGTCAGTGACAATGGTGGTTGTCGTCGGCCGCAATAGCTAAGAAATACAAGAGAACTCTCTAGTTCTCTCCTTTCTTTCTTGATGCGGAGCATTTTAAGCTTGAAGTATTCCTTAGGATATCTTATCTAGTTTGTTATGAGTTTTTCTAGAATCTTCTATAGCTAGTTTATATAGGTATGTTTTGTAGTAGGATGACTCATTGAAGAATATTATGACATTTTAAAGCTTTGAAGCTTTTGTTCCTCTTCTTCCCTGGATTGGGATCGAAATCCTTCTTGCAGGTCGATTCTTCTCACGATCCACTACATCAGTTGGTATCACAACCTGGAGTATGCGAATATCGATGGACTGCGGAAGAAGGTCGGCTGTCGACGACGATCGAAGCCGCAGAATAAGATTGGCGGTCGACGACGATCAACGCCGAGGAAGGTGGGCTGTCGACGATGCTCGAAGCCGGATCGCCTTCTATCAAGCTCAAGCGAAGGAATCACTCGATCGGGTAGACAAAAACCTTCGGGCAATAAGGAAGATGTGAATGTCGTCGGCAACCACACCGAGGTATTCATCTTCGCCTTCCCTCTTCTACTCTGCTTCTCGCAAAGGGATCCGTAACCGATTGTTGTTGACGACTACCCTCCGCTCGAACTCACTCTCCGATGGCGTGACCCGCTGCGAGAGTATCCGCCGCTCGAGCTTCCTCTCAGCTGGCGTGACCCCCCTCCGCTTCAATGCCAGATTTGTGATCCCAAACAACACCAACGTCCTCGGACACAGCTCGTCAATTCCCTTACCGAACCCGTGCCTCCACCACCTCCGTTACTGCCTACTCCTTACCCCAAACCCTCTCCCGCTTTCGTTCAAACCGCACTTCTGCTCCCGCTACTACCCCCGCTACCGCTCCGACTCAACTCTCGTGACTCCGATTCCACACAGATCCGCACACCCCCAGCATGCCCAACCTCGCTTTCACCTCTAGATCTGCCCGTTGTTGTCCCTCTAATCAATCCGCTATATTCCGCCACCGCTTTCACCTCTGGAATGCATTCCGGCCTCGACCCGATCCACTCCAGCCCAAGAAGGCCGTATGCAGATAACATCCCATACCTGAACCTTCGCGACAATATCAAACTCGTCAGATTGGCCTGATCACCTTCGCTCCCACACAACATGCCCGCTCTAACTGACGATTCATATCCTCCTGATCGCACAGTCCACAACCATCATGCGGCCGTCGTCCATGACTCGTCACTTTCATTCCCTTCACTCCTGTCTTCCGCTCGTATCCCTCTCCTGTGTATCCAATCATCAGGTTTGCCCAGCACTCCCGCTCCGTCACCCACCTCCTTCAGTGCACCCGCACAACCGATTAGATCTACTTCTCCTTCTATTATCAAAGAATTGGAAGAAGAGATGGAGAAGTTACATGAGCAGAGGGCTGTTGTGATTGAGGAAAGAAGAGCTGCTGCTATTACTGATGAGAATGTTGGGTTAGAAGCTGCAGTAAGTGCAGCGCGTTCCGTTCTAGATAAAGGCTCCAGCTTTGCTTATATAGCTGCAGCGCACAGTGAAGCTCTGGCTTCTCTGACAGCTGGCCGAGAAATTTCAAGCTTGCCTGTTTAGTTAGATGAGTATGGCAGGGATGTTAACCTACAAAAGCATATGGATTTTGTTAGGAGGGCTGATGCTAAAAAGTGCATAAAGGTTCAGGCTAAGGCTAAGAGGTTGTCGTTCATTGCAAAGGGAGTCGGTGATTCTCAGCAGGTTGAAGGTGAGGTATCATGTGATGAAAGTGATAGTGAAATTAGTGCTTATCAATCAAGAAGGAATGAGTTGCTCCAAAATGTTGAACAAGTTTTTAGTGATGCAGTTGATAAATATTCCAAACTTTCCTTTGTCAAGGAAAGACTTGAAAGGTGGAAGAAATGTCGTCTTCCTAGTTATCAAGATGCATATATATCTCTAAGCGTACCGTACATATTTTCTCCTTATGTAAGACTAGAGCTTCTGAAGTGGGATCATTTGTATAAGACAATGGATTTCTTTGACATGAACACTGCACGAAACCTGTTTGAACAAATGCTTGTTAAGAATACACATTCATACATTGTAATAATCACAGCTAATACTCATGATGGATTCACTGATGAAGCATAGGCCCTGTTCCACCTGATGCTGGATATCTTCTGTAATGACGCAAACATCACACATTGTGGTAATCGATTTATTTCCAGTGGTATGCCGGCCGCTTTGAAGGTTCTTGTTGAAAAAATGGGGCTTCCAGGAGGATATCCGGCATCGTCTACTCCATCTTTCAATATATTGAGATGCTGTGAATGGTGGAAGGGAATTGAACAAAGGATTGCAACTCTTGAGTTTGATCAGGCTCGCAAATCAATGTGAGTGTTAGTAAAGTCAGATAAAGGAACTATTTCCCTACTTGTAAAGGGAGCTGTTGAAAGTTTGTTGGAGAGAAGTTCCTACATTCAGTTGCTAGATGGTTTTGTTGTCAGGCTGGTTGAAAGTTCAAAATCTCTAATTTTACGAGCTGTTCACGAGATGTCAACGAATGCCTTACGTTGTCTGGGATTTTCTTACAAGGACGATGTTGCTGACTTCATTAATTATGACGATGAAGGCCATCCTGCTCATAAGCTTTTTCTTGATCCTTCTAATTATGCTTTTATAGAAAGTGATCTCATATTTGCTGGTTTGGTTGGTGTGGGTCTCCGAAAGGTTTCTGCTCGTGTGGTTCGAATGCAAAGAGTACGATCACACTATCCCGTAGGATAAAGTGGTCGTAGACCTTTACACTCGGCACAAGCAGGCCGATGGAAGAGCAGATGGAGTTATAAATACGATTAGCCATGGAGGATAGCGGCTTTCACCTACCAACCTCGATGGATAATAATATCTATAACCCAAAAGTTCACGAGATTTCCCCCATTCGGTACATCAGCTCGAATGGAGTTTATTTGATTGTGGGGATCGGTTTCCTACGGGCGCAAGCCCCCGTAGTTAATTACATCTTAGACCTTGATCTAAGAAAACTCTCGATTAGGGATGTTAGATTATCTTCTCGAATGGGTTTAGTGCGAAGGGTTTCCTAGGTTTTCCTAATCAAAGTGGAAGAAGGTCCCAATTTGGTTCGATCAGATCACACAAGGTTCAGTCAACATCCGGTAGGCTAAAAGAAGTGGAAACTAGAGAAAAAGAAGAGAAGCAGAACATACAGCCGTACATGAGAGAAAGAGGGAGGTGGCGTCATCTATGTGACGCAGATGGGTAGGATTTATAGCCTCTGGAAAAGTAGAGAACTAACCCACCAATAAGGTGTGTAGGGGTACACTCGTACCCCTCACCTTTAGATCCTAAATCTATAAAAGATGTAGTATCGTACATACGATACTAACATCTACGACCTAGCTAATGCGATTTGGACTTACTCCTTGTCTGACAAAGGAAGCCAGCTAAAACCACCTAATCG